CCGGGGCCGCGGGCTCGCCGGTCACCAGGGCCTCCCTTCCGCTTGTGCAGGGCCCCGAGTTCAGCCGGGGGTAGCCCCTCTCAGATGTAAGCCTGTAGGGCACCACAGGTTTTTAAAGACTTTGCCTTCCCGAAATAAATAAACGGGGAAACTAGAAGCTAATGCCTTCTGCAGCAGATACAGCCGGCGATGATTCTGAACTGCACGGCGTTTGTTTGGTGCTTGGACGTTCTCATGAGTATCTTCAAGGTTTTGTAGCTTCTTCATACGTCTTGGATCAAAAAGGAGGCATTAGACAGAACTCCAAATAAGTTACCTCAGCAACCTTGGAGTTGTAAGAGGGAGAATAATTTTCTTCTCATATTTCTCGCTTCTGCCAGGACACATTCTTTTAGTAAGACATGAGCCCAGAGGGCAGAACCAAGCCTTTTCCCCCAAAAAAGAACTTTTCCAAGTAGTAATTAACAGCAATTGCTTCATTTAACAAAACAATGACTGCGGGGAGCCAGGAATTACATATAATATGACTGATGGCAGTCTTCTCTTCTCTGTATTTAAAGGCAATCCAGACCTACCAACAGCAGTTAATATAACTTGGTCTTCAATCAATTTTAAAACTATACTACAGTGGCAACCAAAACCATCAGGTTACTTCTATACAGTAGAAATAAATGGGTAAGTAGATAACACCAAGGTGTGTCCGTTAATGGCAACTGAAGAAAATGCAAATAGAGCATGTTTGAATATTTCTGAGACTGAATGTAACAGGAAAAGAGCCAAAACGTGAATATTTAGGAGAATTGCCAACCCAGCTGTTAATATGTCTTTGTATCCAACTGTAAGAATATCTGATTTGAGCTTCTGGTTTTGCCCACTTCGGAAACATGAGAGTTGAGCTTTAGATGAGTATTTCAGTTCTGGGGTTCGGTGCAGGCCAGCTGCACTGGAGATCTATGCCAGGATACTTTAGTTAACGCTCAATCAGACATACCATGTATTAGATAGAACTTCACTCTTTTATGTCTTTTGAGGTGTCTGGACTGAGTCTTTCGTCTTTAGTCTTGGGAGGTGTCTGAAAAATATGAGTCTGCATTTTATTCTAATCGGTGAATCACAGTAAATGAATAATTTGTCTTGCTGGGTAATACTAAAAATTACCTTTGTTTGTCTACTTCTGTTGAGACTTCCTCTGTCATCTTGTTTTATGTAAGCTATGAAATATTGTGGACATAAAAAGTACCCAGCTTCTGTGAAGTGTCTAACACCTCTTTCAATACAGCGCGAAAACTTCCATGAAGTTCAGTAATAAATCTGTGCTGTTCTCAGCTCCCATATTAATTCATAGACCATTATTAAACATGCCCCAAAGGGAAACTGCATCATCAACTCTGCTGCATATTAATGAAAATATGGTACTGTAGTCTCTTCTGTCTCCAAAAGTGGCATAGAAATGAGAACTCTCTCATGACTAGTGGATGAAATACCACTGCAATGGCCTAATGTGCTCTTTTATTCTTTAAGGGAGTAATTAACTTAATAGACTTAAAAGCACACACTTAGCAGAATGAATTTTAGAAAATTTATGAATCTGGAGTTTCTTTCCAGCCATTTGTGCTTGCAAAAAATTGAAGTCTGGTTGCCCTAGAGTCAGTATAGAATCAGGTATAGTTCTGACATGGAGGCACTTCTTTAGACAAGTTGCCCTTATAGATGAAGGGTGCTTAAATGTTTGCTTTCTCATCTATGCACATTTACAGAGTACATTTGTTTGATCACAAAGATCAAATGTCAGTCCTTTTTAAATAAGTCAACTGCAGAAAAATGAAAAATAGGAACTACTTATGGTTTCTATTCAATTCATATAAAATACTGGATTTTTAATTCATATATGTATCCAATAACATATTTCTATAATTAATGTGGATCATCTTTGATTTACTTGATTCTACTTTGAATTGTGAAATATAGCTATACAGGGTAGTGGTTTTTGAGGATTTTTTCTTCTCCATTTCAGCCTAGTACACCTGTGAGTCTGTCCACTGGATGAGGGAAATCTATACAGTTTTAGGGGGAAAATGTTTTTTAGCATATCTAAATATGTAAAAGTCTGGTTGGAAGGTGTTGACGCTTCTTCTTTCTTGCTCTATTCAGAATGACATCTGACACCAAAAGAAAATGCATACTGACAGCCGAAACCGAGTGTGATGTTACTGATGTGCTCAGGAATGTGAAGGAGACCTATACAGCACACATATTGTCTGTAACATCCTCAGGGATGGATAACTTTGAAGAACCACCTTTTGCAGTCTCTGAACAATTTACACCTTACAATCAGAGTAAGTAGGATTGCCAATTAAATCTTATCATAGTCTTCCTTTTAAAATTACTTCCATTGACTTAAATAAAGTCTAGATTGGGCTAAAGGTTTTTCCTATAGATTCTTACAGTAGCCATACTGGTATCTGAGAAGACATTCAAGCATAAAGCTTTCAGTGTTGTAGGGGAGTGTGTAAGATTTTAGTTACCATTTGTTTCTCACTGCAGTGAGTAGATCATTTTATTAACGTTGTGTAATAGATAAAGATATTTGTTATTAATCCAGGATTTCACTGTATTACTTTGGATCTGTAAATTTGTAATAGATTTGAGGAGGGAAGGGAGTGGAGAGAGGAAGAAACAAGAGCATGTTGTGTAGAAGAGCTGATGTCAGTTTTTTAATTCTAAAAATGCTTCTTTAGCTGTTCTTGGGAAACCGGAGATAAAGAATTACACACAGAAAGGTTCCAAACTGAATGTTGTGTTCCAAGATCCGCTTACACCATATACATTTCCTAATGGAAGCTTTCAAAGTATTCGAGATATTTTCCAACATGACCTGGAATACAAACTCTATTACTGGAAAGATCAAAGTTCTGGAAAGGTAAGGCCTGGCTCTACTGTTCATACATTCTGTAGCTGTAGCAGCCTTCCAGTACCTAAAGGGTCCTACAGGAAAGCTGGTGAGGGACTTTTTACAAGGGCATGGAGTGACTGGACAAGGGGGAATGGCTTAAAACTGAAGGAGGGTAGACTTAGATTAGATATTAGCAACAAATTTTTTATTGTGAGGGTGGTGAGGCACTGGAACAGGTTGCCCAGAGAAGTTCTGGATGTCCCGTCCCTGGAAGTGTTCAAGGCCAGTTTGGATGAGGCTTTGGGCAACCTGGTCTAGTGGAGGGTGTCCCTGCCCATGGCAGGGGGGTTGGAACTAGATGGTCTTTGAGGTCCCTTCCAATTCAGGCCATTCTATGATTCTACAATTTTATGTATTATAGCTACACAATTTCTGTGCTACCTTAAGAGCTAACACTTTTGAAGAGAACACTTTCCTGAAATATTTTTTTCCTTTACAGAAAGATACCAGAACAAAAAGCCATGCATTTGAAGTAAACGTCGACAGCACAAAGAACTATTGCTTCTACATACAGGGAATCATTCCCTCCCGCAGAGAAGACCGTAATGGTCAAGAAAGCGTGGTGGTTTGTACCAGTGTAGGAAGAAACATCTTAGATGGTATGTATCTGAAGTTTGTCATAGAGTCTTTAGCACTCTAACAGACACTTCAATTCTGAATATATTTTTATACTTCTTTAAATTGTGATGCCTGTTATAGAATAAACTGTTTACTGTATCAGTGGGAGGACACAGTCTGAACATGGAAACTCAAGGGAAGAACTCACATTAAGTAAGAGTCCACCATCTTTAGCTAGTTGGAGTTGGTTTTAGGGCTTTCCTAAACTGTTTTAATTAGTTTTAAATTGTCTGAGTTGATGACTGGTCACTGAAGTTTCAGATTTCATCACTAGCCTTCAGCTTCATTTTTTGTTTTCTGATTGTTTTCCTCAGATCCTTCCAATAACAGGTCTCATAGTAAGTGCTTGAAGGATTGAAGCTGGAAAGCTGGAGAGGGACTTTTTACAAGGGCATGGAGCGATAGGACAAGGGGAAATGGCGTTAAGGTGAAGGAGGGTAGATTGAGATTAGACATTAGGAAGAAATTCTTTAGTGTGAGGGTGATGAGGCACTGGAACAGGTTGCCCAGAGAAGCTGTGGATGCCCCCTCCCTGGAAGTGTTCAAGGCCAGGCTGGATGGGGCTTTGGGCAACCTGGTCCAGTGGAGGGTGTCCCTGCCCATGGCAGGAAGGTTGGAACTAGGGGATCTTCAAGGTCCCTTCCAACCTAAACCATTCTATGATTAGCTCTAAAACATAGGTGTGCTGGAAACCTACATATCCATTGACTTGTCGTTTGAACTGAATTTTAGTTATTATCTCAAAGGCAGATGATGAGACTAAGACTTTCTCTACTGTTACATTACAAGGTCAGAGGTTGGCAGATTGATTTCTTTACTGGTAAATAAGTTAGCAAGTGGTCAGTGAATCAGCCAGTTTAATTCCAGACACACAATCTGGGTAACACTTCCTTCAATATATAGTCATCAATAGTTATTAAATAATTTCACATTGCTGTACTGTATCTTTCTTCTCCAAAAATATATGTCCAGATAAGAATATTTCCACTCTAGAAAAGCTCTTCTAAAACTGGCAAATAAACTGTCTTGAATTAACTTTCTTATCTGGATATACATTTTTGTGTATCACAATAGTTGAATTCTAGTAAATTACAACTTGAATAGAAATCACCTCTGTTGGTGTTTTCTAGCTTCTAACCTAGAATAAACTTCCACGTGGATTTAGTTTCACAGAAATAATGCAGGAGTAGGGGGAAATGGTTGGACTTTTTCTTGTAGTAGCATGGTATTTTGGTGCACTAACTAAACTAGGAAGAAAACCTAATGTGCACCAGGTGAAAAAAATCTTTACCTCAGTCCAACAAATTCACATTAAAATGAATTTAGTTCACACTGAGGTGGTTCACCACTGAGGTGGTACTGTAAAATACAGAAAGCATTTTTTAGTTCAATGGAGTGGATTCTTAAAATTTGTAGCACTGTGACATTATGACTTCTGATAACTGAATATTGGATTTTTTTTTTTCCTTGCCTACAGAATATGGAGCAGAAGTCTTTATCATCATAGCAGTGATAGCAATTGCGATATTCACTCTCGCTATTGTCCTATCAGTGATCCTGTGTAAACGCAAGAAAGCAAAAGCTGCAAGAGAAAAGGAACCACTTAATGGTGTTTAAAGAAAAATTATTGTGGACACTAGTGGCAGCTCCAAAGCAAAAAAACCCCCAAAAACATAAATTGGGTGGACCCTTTTTGCCTCTCTGATACAGGAATCTTGAAACCCAAACTTTACGTGGATTCGAAAGTCTGTTAGACAGTCAGAGATGAAAAATCCAAATATTAGGAAGCCCCTGTGTCACTAGTTGCTGGAGGATGGAAGAGTGTTCTGGTACAATAGCCTAACCATGCTCATCTCTCTTCCCAAGCTCCTTCTGTTGTCCTGTCTGAAACAGGATTCTGAACTAGATGCACCTTTGACTTAACTAGGTACAGCCATTCTGAAAGTATGGCCTTACTGAGCCAAAAGATTTATGGTACATGTGAGGGGAAAAAAACCACTACTTTTGAAAAATGTGTCCTTTACCTAACTAAAAGGAACATCTTTCTGTTTCTATGAAACAAAGCTTGTATTTATCTTGACTTTCTTTTAACATTATTAACTGGTGAAATGATCTGTTAGTTCAGATGCAACAAAGATGCTACTTCTATTTCTGCACTTCTTGGATAAAATTAACTTGGTCTATTTATCTTTAGATATAGACAATCAAAGGTAAACAAACTGAAACTACTGTACTGGAGACTTGCAAGGAACACTGTTAAAGTAGGTAGCTGCTATCTATCTGGAAAGCATATCCAGATTACACTACACCAAGAGTTATACAGACAGGGTAGTCTGATGGTTCCAAGTCGGTGTTAGAACAAATACTTTGCAGTTTTTGAGTCAGCAGTAACTCACTTCATGCAAGCACTGAGTAGGTAGCAGTATTTACTGCATTTTAAACATTATTTTTAATTAAACAGTTGGTGAATGAATGGTTTATGGGGTATAGATTCAAATAGTCTTGGTGATGGGATTTGGAGATACCTGTTGCTTTGACTAATTTAATATTTTTATATTTATTTTAAATGGGAATCTAATTTTTATACTGGTGATACCTGTATTTATGATGGTAATTTATACTTTTCTAGTGAAATAAAGGTGACTGGGAAAATAAGACTTTCTTTTCCTTCGTTTATGTACAGTACAGTATTCATTCCAAAACTAAATTAAAAATACATTTAGGAAACTTATATTGCAACAGCAGCATAAGCAAGCTGCCAGAAGTCTAACCAGGACTCTGCAAAGTAGACTACCAGAGCTACTACTACCTGTAAGGATAAAAATATGAGAAGCCACAGTTCATGAAGTGATGAAAGGTTTTGAAGATTCCCTGAGCTGCCTTTCAGCCAACCGCTTATGTGAGTGATTATTCAGTGTTTGCATTCACAGCTTCTCATTCTAATGGAAAGTGCACTTGACATCTCTTTGGCTGTCTCACATAGGGATTACCACAGTGGTGCCTGTACCGCTTGTGGGACCAATATTCATTCACAGCATTATAGGGCCTGGCCCAGAAATGAGAACTGCTGCTGCTAACAACTGGGATTGGCACAAAAAAAATTTTAAAAAAAAAAGAGAACAAAAAAAAATGCATCATAACTAGAACGAATTAGCTGTAAATCTCAAAGCTTTATACATGTCTTAAAAGAAGATATCTCCATTGTATTTATGAGAATAACATCATACAAAATTAATATCCCAATTTACCAAAATTATATTTTAGGTTTTTCATCCCTACTGTATTATAGATACCTTCTTTGTATAGATTAAGACTCCTGTGAACATGTGAGTGTGGCTGATGTGGGGTTTCTTTTTAATTCACCTTTTTTACAGAGGGAACAAAAAAACCCCACCACACTCCCTCCAAAAAAACCCTGTTTACTTAATATTGTGCAATAAATGCTTAATGCATTTTCTGCTAATGCATAAGCCTTGTATGGAGGAGGAATCTTACAGCAGCCATCAAACATATGAGAGCTTGTGGGAGTAAATTTATAAACATTCCAAAGTTGTCATCATTACTTCCATTCCCTGCAGTGTTCTGCTTCTTCAGCTTCATGCAGTGCCAAGCTCAGAAAAGGGAAGAGCTCATAGGAAATGGAAAGCCCCTTGGTTACAGCGTCACATTTATTAAACTAGACCACACAGTTGATTGCCATAAGCTACACAGAATAATGTTAAGTCATGCTTCATTATTGAAGAGATGTTTGGCTTGAGAAAGAAAAGAGAGGGAGAAAGAACACCCGTAGAAATGCAAACAAGTGCCTTAAATGGCAAAAGAGTGGCCCACTACTGCACAAGTTCTGGAAGCCTGAAACGCTTCTGTTCCCTAGCTGCAGTGTGTTACCATCCAGCAATGCTGAGTAACCGGAGTCACAGTGCTCACAGATCCTGTTTCAAAGAGGTTTTTTTTGCTGTTTGTGGAGACAGTTGAGAAAGGGGCTTTTTATTGCAAACTTCCGGAAGCGTTATCCCTTGGGCCAGTGTACCGAGCCCACGCAAAATGCTTTCTGCAGAGATTTAACTGTCTCAGAGTGTCACAGTGGGCAGAAGGAATTGTTGAATAAAGGTATCGTCACTAGGAAGAAAGACTAGATCCTGTCTACAACACACACTTGACCACTCCAGCTCTGTACTGATTTAAGAGGGTGTCAGCCACACAGGGACTCAGTGTGAGAAAGGGAATGCTTTTCCTACCCTAAGTTCCCTGCCTTATCTTCTAAGCAGGTTTCTGTAAGCAGGCATGTTCCTGCT